CAAATTGTCTCTCAGCCACTGCACAGCCCTGCTGGGAAACAGAACCAGCCTCTGGCGGTAGAGGTGACTTGGCCCAGCCACTGGGCCATCCGTCGTGCTGGAAGCCAGAGCCGTCTCTCTCTGAGGACCGGCGTCATTTGGACTGTATGCCATTCACATTTATTAATGCACAACACCGTCCAGAGTTCTCAAAATGGACATTTAAGAAGTGAAATGTAGGCTCTTAAAAAAAAAAACTACTTGTTTTTGTTGTGGTGTGTGGGTTTGGTTTTAATTAATTCTACATTCCATTACCAATTTGGAGCAATATGTCCTCTGGGACTAGATCGGATTCACTTCTAGAAAGCCTGCCTAGAGAGTGATCAGGGGGTTACAAAGTATTCCTCGTAGGAACTAATTGAAAAAAACAAAAAAACAAAAAAACTCTAGTTCTTCTTGAGCCAAACAGAAGGAAAGCAAACATTCCAGAAAATTCCTTCTTTCCCAGAGTGCTGATGCTGGAGCTCACAGAGACTCCCGTGTGTCACAAGCTATGCCTACAAGATGGCACATGTGGTGTAAACAGGACCGATAGACCTTCCTTTTCCAGAAAGTTCTCTGGAAGTTCACACCATGGTAAAACTGTCACCACTCAGAACTTCTTATAGAGCCTAGAAGCAAAAGCTCAGGCCTCAGGGATGTCAGCCAGTGAGAAGGTGGGAACAGGGGCTGGAATCTGGGGACCAATCCAGGTTTAGATTGCATCCTGTACCTCGGGCACAGGAAGGAAGTCACTCCATCCCCTATGGCAGTACACTTCCTGCTAACCTCATCTTCAGAGATGAACATTCCAAACTGACCCCAACATAATGTTTAAGATAAGCAAACCATGATCTCATCTTCCACAGTTTGCACCTGCTCCTCCCACTCAACACAGGCAGTGCCCAGTGCCCTTGTCCAAAAACACACTCTGTGCTCTGAAGTTTCCAGAGAAGCCCATGGCAAAGAGAAACGAACATATGCGACCCTGAAGCAGCAGGGTCAAATCATCCTTTGTGTTAGTTTCCAAACGCTGCTATAACAAAATACCACCTCCTATGGAGTACCTTAATGAACCGAAAGCTATTCTCCCACTGCTTGGGAGAATAGACACCCAAGGCCAAGGCCTCAGCAGGGCTAGGCTCCCCTGATTCTCGGGAAGGGTCTGCTCTAGGCCTCTCTGCTAACATCTGGTAAATCTTTGGCTGGTGGCGGAGGAACACTGATCTTCCTATGACATTTTCCCTGTGTACCTGTGTCCAGATCTGCCTTTGATAAGGACACCAGTGGTGTTCCGGGCCAGCATCCTCTCATCTCAGTGAGTCATCTCTGCGAGGGCCCAACTTCCAAACAGGATCCTGGGGGTGAGGACTTCCACATGTAAATTTGGGGAGATACAATTCAACTTACAAGATAAGCTTTAAATGCAAAATCAAACCCAAGCAAAGCAACAGGGCAGATCCCTTCTAAGAGTGTCTTCTTGTATGATGTACAATTCAGCATGTTGGCAAGGTTAGCAGAACTTGCTGTTGACCCTGAATCTTTTGCTTATAAATAAGTCAGTGAGCAATGAAGAGGTGTTAGCTGAGGGCAGAGGGGCACATGGGGTCGCTGCAGAGCTCCAATTCCTCCTCTCCTCACTGGAGGATGAAATCTACATGAGGAGATGAGAATGGTTAGTTATAAGAGTAACAAAGGAGCCAGGCACCTGTAATCCTAGCTATTCAGGAGGCTAAGATCTGAGGAACATAGTTCAAAGCCAGCCCAGTCAGGAAAGTCTGTGAGACTCTTATCTCCAATAAGCCACTCAGAAAACTGGAAGTGGCACTGAAGTTCAAGTGGTAGAGTGCTAGAGAGCTGGATTGCTGAGGGACAGTGCCCAGGCCCAGAATTCGAGCCCCACAACCAGTAAAAAAAAGAAAAAGAAAAAAAAAATGTGTCACTATACAGCATTTATATTGTGTTGGGTTTTATAAATAATCAAGAAATGATTAAAAGATACAGATGGATGTGCAAAGTTTGCATTCACATATTATGCTGTTAATATTTTTATTGTATTATAAAGGTGCTATACAGAGGAGTTACACTAATCAGGTCATGAGTACGTTTCTTTTTGGGCAATGTCTCCCCTTTCCTTGTTCTTTCTCAGTTTTTCCTAGGCCATTTTATAGAAAGGACTTGAGCATTCTTAGATTTTGATGTTCACTGCGGGGGCCTGGAACTAACTGTCCTCAAACACCAAAGAGCACTAGATCCAAGATCCAAAGTACTTGTAGCCATAATGCTCGGCTAGAGGTAAGTTTGCCAACATTACTCTGCCGTGGTTTGGGTGTGGTCTGCCGCCCAAAGCTCAGGTGTTGAGAGCTTGGTCATTGGGAGGTGTGTGGACTGTTAAGAGATGGGCTTAGTGTGCATACTTAGTGGGAGGCCCTTATGGCAACTGGAACGTGCCCTCTGAAGGGAATGTGGGATGCTCATCTCCCCATGGCTTCTGGCCTGATGACACACCTTTTCCCTCACACATAGGATACTGTCATGACAATATCTACCCTCAGGCCCTCATCACAGGCTGAGCCAAGGGACCGGTCTGATCTTGCATGTTTAGTGGTATGAACTAAATGAACTTTTTTCTTTGTAAGTAGCCTCTCTCTGGTATTTCATGATCGTCAAGAAAACATGGACAAATAGAGATTCAATACAAAAAAAAAATGGAGTTGCCTTTTGTAAGTTGAGGCAAGAGGGCTCTGTTTTCCTGGTCAGTTTGGATAGGTGGAGATGCCATTTGGAGAGTTCTAGTCATTTTCTTCCCTGGTGTCTGGGATTATGCTGAGGGGTGTTTTGTGCAGCTGTAAACCATCCATGAAATTATGTACCAAACCACAAGATAACAAAATACAGGCTCAGTGGTTCAGAGTACAGACTGTGGAGTCCGGCAGATGCGGATTTCCATGTGGCTCTACCTCTTAGTTAGGTGACCTTGGGTGAGATATGGAGATGCGGGGTCTGCCATCTGTGCTTCCTCGATAAATATAGGGCAGGTATGAAGCGAGATCCTGGATGGAGAATGTTCATCCTGGTGAATACATAGTATTCACCAAATACTCTGAATACATAGTAATCAACAAATAGTACTTAGTCTAGTTTTTCCAGAGATCTAGAAAGCAAACTTGAAAAATCCAACTACTTTCCTTCTCTTCTGTCTTGTAGGCTTCTCTGTTGTTATGAAGAAATGGGAGCCCTAGGCCTTTGGGTGCTTGGGGCAGGGTTAACTCAGCGGATTTGGGGTATTTCATCCATGTGTATTCAAGAGAAAGGACTGGCTCTTGAGCAGCCCTGGGAGCTAACATCTCAGCTCCTTGTGAAAGACCTTGCCCTAAAAGAACACCTCTGTATAGGTGAGGCATTCAGCCGCAGCTGATGCTTTGTGCTGTGTGGATCCCTGGTGGAGGCCTTGGGTCACAGGCATTGGTTTGGGACTCAAGACTGAGTAAAGTCAGCCATAAAGGGCCCTTCGCACCCACATGACAGACCCTGTAGAAAACCTCCATCGATGAGCGCTGAGCCAGTCTCCCTGCTCAGCAATGCTGTGTGTGCATGGGGAGATCTGAGAAGCCCCGGGGGACGGCTGGCAGCTGGAAACTGGAAGTAGTTGCTCCCAAGCTCCACTGCGTACCTTTTGCCTCAGCTGACCTCAATTCCTATCCCTTCACTACAATGCCCAGGAACTATGATGGCTCCTCTGAGTTCTGGGTCTTCCTAGGCAGTCATTGAAAACGAGGAGGCTAGTGGTGAAGGAGTAAATTAGTTTGGCCCAAGACAGTGTCTTGACCTAGCAGGCTGAAACCAGATTCAAGAGATACATTATTCCAGAACATCTTGCTCCTGCTTTAGCTTCTTCTAGTCCCCATAGCCTTCCCAAGACCCTGGGGAGAGGGTTTGCAGAAAGGACCTGATCTGACCAATAAGATGTTACCTTCAAAGCAGTTCATTTGAATATAGGCAATCAATCAGAGCGTAACTCAGGGTGTAAGAACCTCAGGAGAGAGGCTGAGAGTGTGACACAGCCACATGAAGAAGAGCAGAGGGACATCCACAGCTCGGTGAGGCAGAATGGAGATGAAGCAGCAGCAGAGGCTGCACATTTTGAGCTAGATACCTCTAAATGAAGTTTTTACACTCATCTTCCATTCACCTGAGCTTCACTCACTGAACTCTTGAGACAAGAACCCGAGGAAGCTACTGCTTAGTCCACAGTAGAGCTGCAACAAAGGTCAATGTGGTCTGCCCTGAGCTGCAACACACAAACTAAGCAGCCTGGCCTGCTCCAAAGCTGCAGCCCTACTGGTCTCTGCCAGCTGTCGAGCCAAATGAACGGTGTGAGCTCTGTCCACTGAGAGTGGCAGTAGCAAGTTCTGTAGTAGAAAGATCTCATGCGTGGGGATCCCCAATTCACACGGGAAACAACAAACTGTCCCATCTTAATTGATTGCCGTAGTAGGTGGCCATGTGAGTGGATTATACAGCTGTGTGCAAGCATGCCCATCAAACATTCAGATGAGATCCCAGCGGATCTCTCTGCCAGGATGGGCTCTCTGGACCTGGGTCTGGTGGGAGCAGTGTGGGTGTGGTAACTAAGGTGATCTACACAGGTAGACTGAGGCACACATGGGCCCCCTCTCCCGCACCCCCACTGCAGAGCTGCTGAGGTGAATGGATGGGAGAGGGGAGCCCCGTGTACAGCTCTCCTATTCTTGTTTCATGCCTGGTTTCTTTTCATTCTACCCCAAGTTTCAGGGGAAAAGGAAATACTCGAAGTATCTAGGAGGGGGCGAAGCAACAATGATCCATGGCAGGAAACTTGGACTCCATGCGTTTACCCTGTGGAGGATAAAGTGGGCCTTCAGCAAGACCCTGAACTCTGCAGCTGCGTGCCTGAGCAGCAGGCAGCTGGAACCGGTTCCACCTGGTTCTCCCTCACTTACCTGGCGCCACTAACATCCACTCCAACCATCAGCTGCCCGTTGAGGGAGAGGATCTCATCCCGGAGCCGGACCTTCCCGCTCTTCCCTGCTGGGCTGTTCTTCCTCAGCTCCGTCACCCAGATGCAGCCCACGTCCAGCACGGGGCCCTGGTGGGTTTTCCTCTTCTTGCCCCCTCTGCGTTTCTCTCCATAGTCTCCAAAAACAGGAATGTTCCCAAAACTGAGGCCTACGGTCTCCGTGTCTCCCAGCTGCTTTGTGAGGTACACAGTACAGATCTCCATTTCTGGGGGGCTGTGGTCGGGTGGGACCGCACTGTCATCCACAGCCAAATTCAGCTGGATATATTCCTGCAGCTTCTGGATGGCTGCCTGGCAGAGCCGCTGCTCGGGCCCGTCCCCGCCCTCCCGAAGGCTGTTCTGTAGCCACTGGTAGAGGAGGGGCAGGTGCAGCACGGCATTGTCCTGGGTGATGGGCATGGTGCTCACTCTTGGCCGCCAGCATCATGAGAGCGCTTGCTTCTGGGGGCTGGACCCCACGGGGCCCCACGTCTCTGGAGATCCCTGGCTGTCATCAGCTTTGCCTGTGTTCATGTTCAGGCTGGCCGCGTGGAGCAGAGGGATGGATGCCTCCTGGAGACTGAGCTGTTTGTCTTGGCCAGCAGGAGGACAGGACACAATAAAACAACAGAGGAACAATGGCTGTGGGACTGCTCACCACAGCAAGGAAGCAAGTATCTGACAAGTTCTTGCTTGGTTCATTTTACAGCAGGGTGCATGCAAATGCAAATGACATGGAAATGAGGTGTTCTCCCAACAGCAATGGCAACAGCATGTCCTCCTGGGGCTCATTCACACCTGAAAGGAAGAGGGAAAACAGAGACTTCCAGTCACAACTGTGAAGTTTCTAGATAAAATGCAAGCGTCTGCATTACAGAAGCACACTGTTCAGTTTTCATACACCAAGTACGACCACAAACCTAACAACTCCTTTATCCCCAGTGTGGCTCATTCTATCCTACACTCAGACTGTCTCTGTCTGTCCCTCACTTTCTCTCTCTCTCTGTCTCTCTCTCTCTCTCTCTCTCTCTCTCTCTCTCTCACACACACACACACACACACACTTCCCTCACAGGAAGGCCTTGGGAACACTGGCCTCCTCTCCAAAGTTGTTTGATCAGCAGAGAAGTGAGATATCAATTAGCAGGATAGCTTTCATCACTATACCATCAAACACAAACCCAACCAGGAGGCTTTGTGAGAAGACCCCCCTAGAAGATAGTAGAGAGTTTCTGGATCAGTTTTTACCGGTTGGGAATAATGTTACCTCAACTGAGAATGCATAACTTGGCCGAGAGAGTCAAAAGAAGTGATATTCTCAACACTGTATCAATGCATTACTTCAGCCAGAAGCATTTATTTGGAATGCTAAGGCTGTCAGCTTCAGGCTATTCAAAATTAATTTAAATTATCATGGCTATTTGCTTGAGATGGGAATCAAATTGGAGAATTATATATGGTAGACCAAAGTGCATATGGCTGTTGCAATGGGTCTCCACAGCCACAAATCCTGCTTGCTGATGACCTGGGCTGATCTCAGAAGGGGATGCTTTTATATCATTGTATTGAGAGACAGTGTCTATATTTGAAACTCAGATTCCAAGTCTTCTTAGGGGCACTGTCAACATTTTATTGGAAGAACCATATTTTTCATAGTATAGGTTGAGAACGGAAGTGTTTTGGATTTCAAATGTTTTTGGATTTTAGAATATTTGCATATCTATATATCTATATCTATATCTATATATAATGAGAGATCTTGGAGTAGGGCCCAACTCTAAAGCTGAAATTAGTTAGGGTCCTATATATCTTATATATGGTATGATGATAACTTTTCACTATTGTTCATTATTTCGATATGAGACAAAGTTTCATGATGTGGCATATTCTACCTATGGTGTCAAGTAGTACTCTGAAGTCTCAGATTCTAGATCGTTTTGATCTCAGATTTTTTCTGGATAGGGGTACTTGTAAGATGATCTAACTTTTCTTATGTCTTGAGTTATCTCAAATCACAGCATGTAGATGAGAATGCTTGTTTTCCTTGCATACAAAATTTTCCAAGAAAATTACATAGAATAAGAGGCTGGAAGAATTAGTGGAAAATTCTCAACTATAGTCAAGCAACTAAAAGGTTAGATAGTAGGGTATGGTAGTGCATGCTGTAATTTTAATACTCAGGAAGCAGAGAAAGGAGATCTGGAGTTGGAGGCCTGCCTGGACTACATAGTGAATTTCAGGGGATCCTGAGTAATATAGACTCTGCCTCCAAACAAACAAACAAACAAAATAAAGTGATGTGAACTTTTGAGAACAAGACTGTCTTTGAGGCTGCCCCTACCCACTCAAAGGAATGATTTTCCCAACCCCACCACATCTCAAGGTAGGTTTCTACTAGTCCTATGTTATCTTTTGATCCCACCCCCTTGGCCAAAATTGATTGGATTACAGATAGATAACTGATCCAAGCTGAGTCAATTGGCTAGGCTCATCTCTGATGTGTTTTGTTTTGTTTTGTCTTTCCTGGGGCTTGAACTCTGGGCCTGGGTGCTGTCCCTCAGCTCTTCAGCTCAAGGCTAGAGCTCTATCACGTGAGCCACAGTGTCACTTCTAGCTTTTTGGTGGTTAATTGAAGATAAGAGTCTCTTGGGCTTTCCTGTCCAGGCCGGCTTTGAACCACAATTCTCAGATCTCAGCCTCCTGAATAGCTAGGATTACAGACATGAGCCACCAGTGCCTGCTCATCTCTGATGTTTTAACACATTACTTTTTTGGGGGCTGAACTCTGGGCCTGGGTGCTGTCCCTCAGCTCTTCAGCTTAAGGCTAGCACTCTACCACTTCAGCCTTTTCAACCACTTCCGTCTTTTTTTTTTTTTGCTTATGTGGTGCTGAGGAATCGAACCCAGTGCCTCATGCATGCAAGGCAAGCACTTTACCACTGAGCCACCTTCCCAGCCCCAGCACATTACTTTTGAAAACAATAGAAGGGAGAGTCTATTTGCATTTAAGCTTTTGCTTAGGGATTTTTTTTTAAGTTTCTTTTGTTTCTTTTAGGTAGTTAGAATTTTGAAATGGAATTTATTATAAGGTTGGATGTAGTCTTTCAAACTGAAAAGGTGAGGTACAACAATACAGCCAGCCTACGACGGCTGAAGTTAAGGCAGGAACACTGCATGAAAGCCAAGTATTCCCTCTCCAGTCCTAAACCTCTGCTCTCTAGGGATCAACTTTATTTTTGGCATGATGTCTTTGCTCTTTAGCAATACAGCAGGCAGAATATCACCACCGAGTCCCTAATTCAAAAGTGACAGCTTTGCCACATGCCAAAAAGTAAGTCCATCTCAGTCTTTATCACAGTACTCCTCTGAGCTTTGATGAGATTGGCTATCTCAGGACCATCCACATGAACTGGGTAGGGAGAGGTTTACTATGTTGAGGGGCTGCCATGGACTTACCATGTATTAATTTCCATTTATTCCAAGGTGGATGATTTTCTTGGAGGGAGGTACTGGGTATTGAACTCAGGACCTTGCACATGCAAAACATATGCTCTACTACTACACTACAACCCTATTCTTCGTTTCTATTAATTTCTACTTCCTTTGACTATACTTTGGGGGTAAATTTGCCTCATTGGAAGTATATTTCCAATGTCAAGTTCAAAGCCTGGTTCTTAACAGATATCCAATAAATGTCTGCTGAATGAATACAAATTGACACCAGAAAACAGTTCATTCCTTTTAAGCCTGGTTTTCCTCAATCTGTTAAAGAACATTTTTCCCATGATATGTTTTCTATTTTTCTGGGTATGTATGGAATCATCTGAAATGTGACAAATACCTTGAATCACAGGTTATTAAAATTTTAATTTAAAGAATCTTTAAAATTCTTGTAAATAATTGAGTCTGCAATGTGTCAGGAGCTACACAGAGGTGGGAAATACTTGGACGATAAGACATTGTATGTTTGAAGAGATTTCTGTTGAGACAGAGACACCTTCGAGATCATGCCACTTAACTCTCCTATTTCATAAATGTGAGAATGGAGAATCTTAAAGGTCTCTAGGCCTGACGGGAAATGTTTTGATTTATTCATAAGAGTTGAATGTTTGTGTGTGAAGATATTTTTCAGTGGAAGGTGTTACTTATTTTTTGGTCAAAGGAGACATTGAGTCTTTATACATGGGTGGATTATCATTTCTTTGATCTTGCTTCTTCTTAATAGCTCTGTGATTATGTGGACGATATTTGCTAAGCTTTTGATTTATTTGGAACCAATTAAGATGTGGAAACTCACTGCACACTATATTGAAAATCTCTTTCTGATGGCTCAGGATTAAGGTCATTTATTATTGACACGGTTCTGACACTTCTCCCATTGGCTATTATTACTCGCTAAGTCACTTCCTGAGAAGACTGGAGAATATTTTCCACCTTAGATGGCATGGTTTCTACTGACTTTCTCTGAGACAAAGTGGAATTCAGAGAAGAGAGTGAAAGGGATCATTTATCTGTGTTTATGGAGAAAGAAGGTGAGAATTTTCTTTGATGGGGGAAGCCAGTTGGCAATGACATTCTACTAACCTTCTACAGGGGAGATCTATTGTATGTCAGGCACTGAACAGAACTAACTCAGAAGGGGCAATTCTCTGATTATCAGGGGACACACCTGCTGTAACTGGCCCCAAGAGTTGGAGAGGCATCAAACCATGTTTAAACCTTAGACATTCTGTTACAGTTGAGTAAAATTATTCATATATACATATATATATATATATATACATACATACATACATACATACACACACACACACACACACATATGTGCAAATTCAAGGCCTGGAATGTAATTGAGTCTGTCAACGTTAGTCCTAATAGTTTCTCAGTTAGCAGTTATTGAGCTCTTATCTTGATTTGGGGATACCATTAAAAAGGCATGTTTCTACCCCTGAAAGTACATGTGACTTCTTCCAGTGGTCTATCAGCACCACTGTAAGTTCCAGGTGCTATAGACTATCCTATGACTAGTTGACAAACATTGCATTTTGGAGTTGCAAATACCAATTTCTTATTATCTATAAAATAATAAAATCTATAAATAGATAAATAGATGGACCTATAAATAGATAAATATAAGTTATAAGGTTTAAAAATTATCTATAGAAATACTAATTCTTTCAGTCTGTGTGTGTCAGTCCTGGTGTTTGAATTTAGAACCTAGGCATTGTTCCTGAGCTTTTCTGCTCAAGGCTAGTGCTCTATCACTTGAGCCACAGCTCCACTTGTAGCTTTTTGTTGGTTAACTGAAGTCTCTGGACTTTCCTATCCAGGCTGGCTTTGAACCATGATTCTCAGATTTCAGCCTCCGTAGTAGCTAGAATTACAGGCGTGAGCCATCGACTCCTAGCCAGAAGTACTAATCTTTATTTATGTGGTGGCTGACCAGATGTGCCCATGAGACAGAATTCCTTCATCTAGTTTATTTCATGCCAGATACTGTACAAGGCTAGGGAAGAAAAGATGCACAGTCCTGAGAAGGCTGAGCTGCCTGGAGTAAGTGATCACCAAATCAAGAACCAGCCGAGTGAGTGTTCCCAGGGACCAAGAATTGTGCACCAAGGAACAGGATGGGTTCTGGAAAATGAGGCTTCCCGTGATCTATGCTGGGCCTTGGGGAAATGACTAAGGCTCCTGTATAAATGACAGAAGGTGACAGGGATGGCCTCATCCAGCCTTCTGGTTTATACGTGAGAGAAAGCACAGGCCAGACGCAAGTCCCTGCAGCTTCTGTGT